GGTCATGGTTTCATGGAACATCCCAGTTAATTGGCCAATAACATAATTAGTACTTCTCATTCATTGTGTAGTATCTGGGGTTCTGAAAACTTGTAAGTGGCTATCCAAGGCACAACAATTGGTCTCTAGTCACCTGGAACAATAGAGGGAGTCAGGAATAGGAGGAGGATATAGAATATCTGGCTAATTACCTCCAAGGACAACTCCTTTGCCATGGAACTAGAACTGGATGGTGGCCTGGCTACCATTTTTGGTCAAAGTTTCCAATAAAGAATCCTAATCAAAAGGGGGGAAATGCAGGGCAGAATTCTAATTTTCATGGACTCCTGTTTTCTGTAGCTGTAGAGGAGCTCCTGAAACTGTTGTCCTGAGGTAATCTTTAAACATGAAATCACAAGTATCAATTGAAATCATCTTAAACCATAACCAAACAGTAACTGAACTAGTAAAGAAAATCAGCTTTGAGTATTATACTCTTTTAAGAACTGTCTACATGGGATGAAACTGATGACACAGCAACTGAAAAAATTAAATAAGAACCTGAAGTTAGTTTATGTTAATAGGGGAGGAATGACCCAGAAATAGAAGATGAGAATGGTTGTGTAATTTGAAGAATGTAATCAATGTCACTAAATTGTATAAGGGGGCTTTAAAAAGTTTATGGGAAAATTCCATGATCTTTTCATTCAGTTGTCCCATGAACTTCTTTAATTGCCTTCTTTAATTTAATTACATTAAATGAACTCCTTTAATGTAGAGGAGTCCTGGTGTGGTGCGGGCCGCAAGGTCTGTTTGAACCACAAGGTTGGTGATTCAAACTCACCAGCTACTCCTCAGAAACCCTATACAGGTTCACTATGAGTCGGAACCTACACTTAACAACAACAAATGCATGTAGAAACTATTGAGGGAGGAAAAAAAATGGTGAGAGAATACTGTCACATGTCCTTTTAACAGCAGGATGATTCAGGTTCTGTTTACAAAATATTGCATGTTGATGTCTTTCCTGTTGAATATGACAGTACTATAGTTTCTTTCTTAGAAATATATTGTTCATTCATGATAGTGAGAAAAGTCATCTAATGTATTTCACCTACAGGCTGACAGTCTGAAGTTTTGCTTCTCTGGTCAATTTTTTCATCATCTTTAAAGTCTCCAATGCTGCTGTTTGTCTCTGCATTCATCTTCTGAGCTAATAATTTTGAAATGTCTTCCTTTGTCAGTTTTATTCACATTAATGTTATGAGTAGAAATTTTTCAAATATGAATTCTCACCTGTGTTTGATGAAAACCAGAAAGTTAGCGTGCCTGCTCTTTTTATACCTTGTTGAAAGCTAATATAATACTTAGAGCAATTCAATAAGAAAATGTAAGGACAGTGAAATATGGATGGTTTCTTTTATGGCTACATCATTCTCAGTCATTTCATTGTTCTTTTTTTCTTATTATTCATTCTCTGTTTTTTTGCATGGTTGTAAATGATTCAAGATATATAAAGGAAATAAGGTGCAATGGGCACATGTGATAATTGCAAAATAGAATGAGTTTTATCCTATTTTTTTAAGTAGGTAAATTTTCTCCTTGTGCTTTGGAAGATTCTAGGAAAGAATAAAATTTATAAAATAGCAATCCTTAGAAATAGTTAGAACTTCTCAGAAAAGAAAGCCATAAACTAAAATTGATTCCACTGAGCCCTGATGTTATACCAAGAGTTGTGTTGACCAGAAGTATGAGGGAACTTTTAAATGTTCTTGGAAAAATGAAATGAAAAGGTAATAGAAAATTTCCATTAACTTTTTGAAGCCCCTTGTCTATACTGACTATAAGGTAGCTTTTATGGTGGAGTCATCTGGAATGGGAATGACAGTTAATCTGTTTCTGCCTTTCTCTACTGCAGTTAAGCTTGCAGGCATTTATTCTGGCTGAAGTGTCGTGGTTCTGACCTTCCACTTATCTTTGCAGCATGAACGGAAAGACTAGGTGAACAGTCTTGTGACTAAGGAAGGTGTTGCCTCCTCCTGTGCATTTTGTTTGCAAGAGTCCTGCTTTCCCTCATGTGCCTCTCTTCTAAGCCGCTTTTCTCTATCAAAGCCCTTGAACTGTTAGCTGTTGGAGTGCAAGGCCTCCCTGTTGAATTGGGAAGACTCTCTGAGAGGACGTGTGTGTGCCAAGCACAATATCATTGTGTGTGCAGGCATTGCAGTAGTCTGCCAAACCTAGGGGTAGGCTGCCAGTACAAATGTCACGTTGACGTGACATTTACAAGTTTAGAATCTGGAAAAAGACTGGCAGTGGAACACTCCTGGCCACCTCTTTTAGGACAGTAACTGGGTCATCTTTTGGTTTTCAGACTCAGAAATTGCAGGCAGGAGACAGTACTTCATAGCACAAGTTGAAGCATAATAGAGTATCACTGCTACTTTCTTTAGGAAATGATGCATCCTGGTAGCTTGCTCCTAGGGTGCAGGATAAACCAGATTTGCATCAGGGCTCTATCAGTTACAACAACTAGCAAGCTTCTCTTGGGCCATACACTGTTTGGCTTGGCAGAGTGCATGACCCTGAGCAAGTTACTCCATCTATTTCAGCCTCAGTTTCCCATCTATAAATTAGGGATAGTTGTTGTTGTTGTTGTTACGTGCCGACGAGTCGGTTCCGACCCATAGCGACCCTGTACAGGGTTTCCGAGGGTGTAAATATTTACGGGAGTAGAAAGCCTCATCTTTCTCCCGTGGAGCGGCTGGTAGTTTCGAACCATTGACCTTAAGGTTCGCAGCTTGAGTCGTAACCACTACGCTACCAGAGCAAAGAATGAGCAGGTGTATTATTGTGATGGAACAGCTTCTCCGCACAACTTCTCTGGCCTTTTTCTCACCAGTGCACTTGTCAATTTTCTTAATACTTCTTTCTCATAAGCCTTGTGATCATCCTGTATCCTTCGAGAAAGTTTATCAAGATTACCCCTTTGTAATCCCCTAAACCAGTCACCATAACCTTCTGAGCTGACCTTTCTGTCTTGAATTTAACTGACCCAGCAGATCTCCTCTGAAGCCACTATTTTGAGTGAACCTTAAAAAAAAAACAACACAAAAAACTTCCTACTGAAACTAAGACAAGTGTATTACTGAGAGAACTTGTCTGCAGCTGCCCACAGAAAACTTAATTTCAACATATTTTGTTTGCGTGTATGAGCTGTAACCCTAGTAAGCAGTTATTTTCACCTTACTCTCATATATGTTGTTAAGTGTCATGGAATTTGTTCCAATTCATAGGGTTTCCAAGGAGCTGGCTGGTGAGTTTGAACTGAGGACTTTGCAGTTCAAACCGACCTTGCAGTTGAGTGCTTATCTTACAACACCACACCAGGACTCTGTGTTATATATTCTGCAAATATTTTCTCCCAATCTTTTATACCTTTGTTTCAGCTTACTTTTTGCTTTCCACAATAATGCAGTCCAATCGCCCTCCTCCTCACATAATGCCCATTCTGCATAGTGATCTTTGGAACCAAACGATGCCAGTTAATGAGGAGTTGGTGTATTTAAATAATTTGTTTTTAAACGTTTGATGCCTCATAGTTTTGTGGACGAGAGGATGGCCATCTTTTTATTCCAGAATTCAAACATTCTCGTTTTTAGATCAATAAATACTAATTGAGTGATGAATCCAACGAATATTTTTTTATTTCTTCATTATTTGTTTGTTTTTAGTCACCTTTGTATACTCTTCTGCCTTCAGCATTTGTACACTTGTGAATTGTATCAAAAACATCATAAAAGATTAAAGAATCCTTACCTGTAAAAAGTTGAATTGGCAAAAGTTGTGCAATAGATATATTCACAACAACAAGGAGCTCTGGTAGCGTAGTGGTTACGAATCGGGCTGCGAACCTTAAGGTCAGCGGTT